ATGCTTTCTCTGCCAATAAACAGAACACAGAGCCAAATGCCTCCCTGCATCACTGTCATCTTTCCCCCTTACATGCTAATATCCCCATCAGGGGGTTGGAGGAGGCTGCTATTTCTGGGCAGTTTCCTGCAGTTTGACGCTTGTGTTTCTAATCGCTATTGCCACTTGCTGGCATCCCCTTTAGTATATTAACAGTTTGATCCATGTGAATTTTGTGTTAAATTGCATCCCAAGGATGCTTAAAGTGAAAGGTAGAATTTTATTTGCCTGGAAAACTAAAGACCCCCTCTTTCTTCTGAGGAACTGGTGGTAATTGCTTCTTCAGCAAGGGGCAGGGTTGAGGTCTAAAACAACACAAAACTCCCCTTGGCAAAGTAAAGGGCATTGGGCCAAATCTTTCACTGTCCCCACCTGAGAATCAAGGAGAAGCAGGGGATGCTGCTCTGTAAATTTCCTTTTTCCTTTTTCTTAGCTACTGGTTAAGAAAATCAGGTTCTCCGCTGGCTACGGTGGCTCATGCTTGTAATCCCAGACTCAGGGAGCTGGGGAGGGAGGACAGCTTGAGGCCAAGAGTTTGCGGCCAGCCTGAGCAACATAGTGAGACCCCATCTCTACAGAAAATGTAAAAGTTGGCTGGGCATGGTGGTGCACTCCTGTAGTCCCAGCACTTACAAGGCTGAAGTGGGACAATCACTTGAACCAAGGAGTTTGAGGCTGCAGTGAGCTATGATTGCACCACTGCACTCCAGTTTGGGTGACAGAGCAAAACCTTGTCTCTGAAATAGAGAAAGAAAAAAAGAAAGAAAGAAAGCAAATCAGGTTCTAGTCATTGGCTTTCTCATGAGATAGCTTGTGACCACTTCACTTCTCTGCATCTGAATGTCAATCAGTAAAACAAAGTGGGTTACTAGATCTATGCATCAGAGGTACACCTCAGAGCAGAAGGGCTGTGTGGGCAGTTGGTGGAGGGTGGATAACAGGGCTCAAAGGCATGGGATGAAGTTGTAGAATCTTTATGGGAGCTCCAACTCCATAGTTAATACTTTTAAGTACATAGCGTATCTACACCATGGGGTAGAACGCAAGTTTCCATAAACCTTTAGTCTAAGCCGTGAGACACTGATGCTTGGCTGGCTGCATCAGGTTACACTGTCCGTTCCCAAGCTATGCTTATCTCCTCTTCTGACGTCAGGAGCACCTGCTAGAAAAATGTGAGAGGCTCCAGGATCACCATTTGTTCTAATGTTTGCTGAGTCTATGAATCAAGAGACAATTAAATAGCCAATCTCTCACCCTGGGAAAGGTGAATAAATATAGCCACTCTGGAAAATTGTTCAGCCGTTTCTTATCAAGTTAAAAATGCATTTACTGACAACCCACCAATTCCACTCCTTGTTACCCAAAAGAAAGAAAAACATTTCTTAATGACCACACAAAAACATTTCTTCCTAAGTCTACACACACATGTTCTAGCAAAAGCTAGAAACATCCCAAATGCCCATCAATAGGAAAATGGATAAACTTTGTTACATTCCAATAATGGAATACTCCTCAGCAATGAGAAGACAGAACAAATAATATGCAAAAACTAGGATGAATCTCAAAATCACTATGCCAAGTGAAAGAAACTAGAAACAAAAGAGTACAATACCATATGATTTCATCACATGAAATTCTAGAAGAGGCCATACAAAGCCACAATGATAGAAATCAGCATAAGTTCTGCCCCTAGAAAGGGGCTGGGATGAAGGTATTGACTGGAAAAGGGGCACCAACAAAATTTCTGCGGTGAGAGAGAGGTTTTCTATCATAATGAGGGTGTTGGTTATACAGGCATACAAATTTGCCAAAGCTCATTGAACTGTTCATGAATTGTATCTCAACTTAAAACAAAACTCTCGCCTGCTGAACAGAGATGTCACTGGGAAGCATGAGTTGGTTCTTTCCCTGAAAACTTAAGAACAGCAGCACTCTAAACATCAGATGCTCCTGGAACTGTCACTAAAGAAGGACTGTTGAACAGAAAACTGAGCCTGGCACAAACTCAATTTGTCAAGACACAGCAAAGAGCCTACCCAGCTGAAGGTTGCTATTAACACACAGTGTCCTAGAGGATGTCACCATTTCAGGTTGAGCTTCCTGAAAATCAGTCTCTGCAATGAAGATTAGCTTGCAAGAGGCTTCTTTGGAAGGTTATTGGGATCAATGCTTGTGGAAGGGAAGAGAAGGAAGCAGGATTGGGTAGAGAAAAAAAGCTTGGCTGCAATGTAGTCTCAACAAAGGCCTCAACCAACCCCCTGTGAACTCTGGTGCTCAAGCGGCTCTTCAGAGCTGACTCCTGAGCATGGAGGGATTATGCCTTTTTACCGCACATCAACTGGTCATTGGATGCAGGCTGCCCCTGGAAAGAGGCATAACCCTGAGCCAGCTAGTCCCTAAATGGGCTGACAGATATAACAGCTGACAGATGTCTACCAGCACCAGTCTCAGAAACTGAGAGGGTTCGATTTTCATAAGGTAGATCTATACATCTCATCATCACAAAGCCCATTACAGTTTCCAAAATTAACTTATAACAATAACTTTCTCATTTCTTTTAGCACAAACTCCACTCTCCCTGACTTAAACTCTTATGAAGAGTTGGCACTCACCCTGCTTGAATGATCAACATTTACACACAGTTGAAGACAAAAGTTAACCAGGGCAGCCCTAACTTTTACAGACCTGTGGAAAGTTCCCTCCTTCATTCCCCAAGTTAGATGTAGAAGTCACATCAGCTCGGGTCTTTATGGGAAAGAACTCATACCAAGAGCCATTCTCTGAAGAGAATATTACTCTCCCATTACACGGAATGAACAGTCAATACACTTGCAATAAATCCCCAGTCCAAGGATTCCCCCTGGTCTGAAGGATGACTGGCCATGACAATGTGGTTCTCTAACTGAAAAGGTGGATGGGATCCCTGTTGTGGCCAAAATGAATCATAACCCCATTTCTCCTGGCAATGAGCGTTGGCTGGCTGTTAATCAAGTTACTTCTGTCAGTGTCTTCCTTTAGGAACTTGAGAACACATCACTTATTTTATGAACGTCTGCTGCTTCCTTCTTTAGCCATGTTCTGCCAGAGATACCAATTCCTGAGTTAGTCCTGAACAAGAGCATATGTTTTTGTGTGAGTTTTCCTGAAAGCAGAGCTAGAGATAAGGACTTAAGTACAGGTGGCTTATCTCGGAGGTGGTTCTGAAAAGCCAGGGTGAAGGACTGGAGAGAGCAGGACAGGGAAGGACAAGCCGAAAACCTGCATTTTGCTGAGTGGATCATTGCTGTGGACAACTGCAGCTCATTCTCGTGGGAACCCTCTGAGAACTCGGCAGAACATATCTCAGCATTGTCCTTCCACTGGTTGCAGGCTCACCAGGTAGTATCACAGCCCCACAGCTATAAGTGGCACCCAGGGACAGGTTGAGCTATTTCCTGCAACTTCAGAGAAGGTGGTCCTGACCTGCACAAGATGTGGGAGGGCCGTGCTAAGATCCCCTTCAAAACAGGACACGCTGCGAGGTGCAAACCATGGTCAGCTGACAGCCAGGGCTGGGTCATAGGTGAGACTCATGCAGTCTCATTGGGTCCCATAGTTAGAAGGGCCCCCCAATTGACCCAATGGTCTGGCATCATCTTGATTGACATCCTTAATATTTTTTAACCAGATACCCCCATTTTCATTTTTCCCTGGGCCCTGCAAATTACGTTGCTGTTCCTGCTGACATCCTCCAGCTGTTAACTCCTCAGGATCCACCTTGATCATCAAGCCAAGTTCAAGTTCTTTTCAGGGCAGTGCCACGCCAATGACTGAGCAAAGCAGCAATATAAAGAAGGGCTGAGACCTCTCCATCCAACACAGGACTCCTCTCTTGCACAGTCTCGATGGGTACAGATTTTGTGAAGGCTGTATCAGGGACTGACAGCTCCCCCTGCCCAATCCCAATTCCTCTTTTTCCTTTCTCAGTAAACCTTTTGCACTTCTAATTCTTAGCCTGCATTTGCTTCCGATAAAACACAACCTGCTACTGCAGCACAAGTGAGAGGCGGAGCGAGCGAACATGATGGGAGCCAACAAGAACACTGCAGAGGTCACCTCCGCTGCTGCCCAGCCTTGGAAACCTCCCATTCCTACCACCCAGCAGGTGAAAGTGGCAATTTGTCATGGTATTACAGGCCTGGAATGTGTCCAACCAGGAGCAACCCTTCATCTTAATGTTCACCAAACTTCACCTAATTTTTGCCACAAGCTCAGACGAGACAACTGGGCTTTGGCCTCAAGTTTTTCACATGACACTTGCTATCATGCAGGATTTGACCCTCTAAACCTCACGTTGAAACTTAATGCCCCATGTCAGAGGTGAGGGACGAATAAGAGGTGTTTGGGTCACGGGGGTGAATCCGTTATGGATGGCTGTTGCCCTATTTGGGGCAATAAATGAAGTCTCACTCTGTTAGTTCCCAAGAGAGCTGGTTGTTGACAAGAGCTTGACACCTCCCTGCTCTCTTGGCTCCTCTTACCAGATAATCTTTTGCCTTCTACCATGAGTGGAAGCAGCCTAAGGCCCTCACCAGAAGCAGATGCTGGCGCCATGCTTCTGGTTAAACCTCTTTTCCTTATAAAGTGCCAAGCCTCAGATATCTCTTTACAGTAGCACAAACAGACTAAAACAGCACTGCAGTTCTATTCCAGCAAGAGATGTGCATTTTACCCTAGCTCTCTGAGCTGGGACCTCACCTAGTTCTTGCCAACCCCTTTCCTGAGCTACATTGGGAGGATCAATAAAAACAATTAAAGACACAGGCCAGTAGACCTTGACATTTGGAAAAGCCACAATCCAGCAACTTCATGCCATGCAGCACCCCATATTCCTCATAAAGAGGTCCATTGTCTATTGTTTCCCTGACAACATTTTTCTTTTAGCTAAGAATTTTTGCCTTCTCTCCACCTCCATGACTTACCTGAACTGATGACTTTCTTTCTTGAATCACTTTTCACAGAAAAAATCGGTTTTCTCTCTCTCCACCTAAGTCACAGTATGCGTGACAAGGCAAAATTATGTTATTACATACCACATGACTGGTAAATCCATGGATGTAAAAACACTACCCTCGTGTTAGATCATTTTTGCATCACTATGAAGATACACCTAAGGCTGGGTAGTTTATAAAGAAAAGAGGTTTAATTGGCTCACAGTTCTGCAGGCTGTGCAAGGATGGCACTGGCATACGCTCAGCTTCTGGTGAGGCCTCAGGGAGCTTTTACGCATGGCAGAAGGTGAAGCAGGAGCAGGCATTTCACCTGGTGAGAATGGGAGCAAGAGTTAGGGGGAAGGTCTTAGACTTTTAAACAAACAGATCTTGTGTGAACTAACTGACCAAGAATACACTTACCAACAAGGGGAAGATGCTAAGCCATTCATGAGGTATCTCCTGCCATGATCCAATCATATCCCATCTGACCCCTCCTCCAACACTGGGGATCATATTACCACATGAGATTTGGAGAGGACAATATCCAAACTATATCAACTCCATCCTGATTTAAATATTCTAAGCATCCCCTCCACAACTACCTTAGCCCTAACCGTATGTTTATTGAGTGTATGTAGGCACATGCGATATGTATCTCTACTTGCAAATATGTATCAATGCCTCCAAATTCTAAGCATATGTAGCAGATTCTGTTGCTTTCCCACCCAAGCACCTCAGCTAACATCTTGGATTCAGCTGCAGCTGTGGAGAATTCCTGTGTACCCCAGTGGTATCCCCACTAAAGCACGTGCTCCTTTCAGCTTCTCTGCCTGAGAGCTTACTCTAACGCCAGGGGACCTTGCTTAGACGGTGCACATGGCAGCCCAGTGTGCTGAGGAATCCATGTTCCCAAGAAACCTCAACCCAGGAGGGAGGAGAGTTGGTGGATTATTACTCTAGCTTCCTCATTCCTCCACAGCTCAGTGGGACAATTCTGTGGCATGTTCTATACCAGCAGTTCCCAAACTTTAGTGTGTATCAGAATCACTCAGAAGGCTTGCATGACACTGATTGCTGAAGCTCATGACAGAGCTCCTGGAGTGGAGACTCAAGATTTTGCATTTCTAACAAGCTCCCAGATGATGCCCATGTTGTGATTTTCGAATCACCCTTTGAGAAGCAGTTCTAGTGATCAGCCACCCTGATCACTAGCACACACTTCCCTGGCTTTTTCTCTTTCCAATCTCACTTTCCCACTCCTTCATTTAGACTGCCTTGGAATCACCTCCCAAATAAACTCCCACCACTCAACTATTTGGCTTAGAGACTGCTTTTGGTGGAATACAGGTAGGAGGCCATGGTTTTTTTTTATAGGATCTCCCAATTACATTACAAGGTATATATTCTTTCAATTAAAAAAATACAACTACTAGTGTGGATGTCTTCAAGGAGTTCCTCATACCCAAAATATCTGAAAACCATTGATTTAGGTAAAGCCCTCATTTTACAAATGGTCTACAAATGCTCGGGGCTTTTAAATCTCTTCCTCACATCATATATTGAATAATGACTATGGATTCACCTGCATGATCAAAAGGACCCATGTATGGGGTTGGTGACCACTTTTTCTGGTATTTCATTCATTTGTGCACCAAATTGAGCCTTAATGTTTAAATCTTGGAGACTTACTTCCTATCCAAACCACATTTTTTATTTTTTCTGTTCAGGCAGGGTTTGGAATTCCTGTGTCCCATTCTGAAACATCAGGCCTTCCAGGTTTTCTCCACTAAGGAAGGCATCTGCCCTGTCCCTCCTCCTTGGCCATCCCCTGAGCCTGCAAGCATCAGTGATGTAGAAGGAGTCAGCTTGCTGTCTTCCACCATTCTGCTAACAGTAGACTAAACAGAGGCCACTGTGAAATTCTCTCCAATATAGCCTATACAAAACCTCCTACATATTTACAGACAGTGGAGCAAGTGGCGAAATGCAAGAAGACACTGTAGTGCTCTAAAGCTAGGGGAGAAAAACAAACAGTCAGGACCTCTGAAAACCCCACTGTTTGTGTCCTGCAAGAAGCAGCAAGTCTCCCTCAGCCCTCGTCCTCCTTAGCTCTGTGGGCCTCCATCTGGTTCCCTTCTATGACACTGTGTTTCATTTTCCACTGCCTCCCCATGATCTGTAGCTGGTGTGATATTTTGGAGTTTGCTTTTGGAAACATTCTTTCAAATATGTCACCGCATGATGCCATCTGCCATGTACATGGCCTCCACCTCCATCAGTATGTCTTCTGGCATTTGAAAGTGCTTGGCATTTTAGAAGCTGGTGAGGAGCACTGTTTGGGGATTTGCTATCAAAATCAAAAATATCGCCACTGTCCTGACAGAGGTGTTCTCTGTGGAGCCACTGGCCTTGGTGGAATGTAGAATTCATTTTCCAAAAGGCTGATCAAATGATCCTGTGGTAGGTGGAATAATGAACTCCTAATATGTCCATGTTTTAATCTCTGGAACCTGTAAATGTTACCTTCCATGGCAAAATGACTTGGTAGATGTAATTATGTTAAGGGCTCTGAGATGGTGATATGGTTTGGATGTTGTCCCCTCTAAATCTCCTGTTGAATTATAATCCCGTGTTGGAAGTGGGGCTTGGTAGGAGGTGTTTGGGTCATGGGGGCGGATCCCTCATGGTTCGGTGCTGCCCTCATTATAATGAGTTCTCATAAGATCTGTTTATTTAAAAGAGTGCAGCACCTCCTCCACTCTCTCTCTTGCTCCACTCTCCCTATGTGATGTGCCTGCCCCACTTTGCCTCTGCCATGATTGCAAGCTCCCTGAGGCATCCCTAGAAGCTGAGCAGATGCCAGTGCCATCCTTCCTGTACAGCCTGCAGAACTATGAGCCAATTAAACCTCTTTTCTGTATAAATTATCCAGTATTACGTACTTCTTTATAACAATGCAAGAATGAATTAACACAGATGGGGAGATCATCTTGGATTATCTGGGTGGATTCAGATGTAATCATAGGGCCTATAAAGGAGATCTACAAGGTGTTCCTTTTAGTCACTAAGGCTGTGATGATTTGGCAGAAAGGTGTCTTTAAGTATCTCCTGATGAAGTTGTTTGCTTTCAAAGCAGGAATCTGTTCCTAGGGCATGATTCTGTTTTTATCTATACCCCAATTATAGTGATAAGTCATTGCCACCCCTTCTTCCCCTCATGAAGTTCCCCTCATGAAGTATTGGGGACACAGTGACACACCCAAGCAATTGATAGTAAACTCTCTGCAGAACAAGTCAAACAGGCATGTTGCTCTCCAATCCTGCAGACCAGCAACAGACTATGATACTGTTTGAATTTCCTGGAATAGCCAATCCATTATCTGCACTTGTGGCTGCTGCGCTCTGGCACTGAAAAGGGGAAAGATGAGAGGCAGGAAGATCTTTGCGACTATCACGTCTCTTAGAAAACCATTTGGACCATCCTTTTCCTAGAAAATGAAGTTATTCTTGTCCCAGGAAATTAATTACTGTTCTCAGAACTAGCAGAGATCCATGGATATACAAATTGTTCATCAAAACTTCCATCAATCTCCTATGTAACTGATGCCCAACCAGCATCCCTTCCAAAGGCAACATGTTTTCAGCCCCCTTTTCTCTCAGGAATAATGCGCATCCTAATGGAAATATGTTTATTTCTCTTCATTTCTCTCCTAGTACTGTTTCCTCTCTGGAAAAAGACATACTATTTGTCCAAGGATCTGGCTAGTCAACTTCTTCTCACCCAGAAGCTGGGGTCTAGTAATATGAGCTGCCAAGAGGCAGCCTTCACTGAACAGAGAGATGTCACTCCTCAGTCCTTAGAGGAGGGAAAGTCAGTCTTCTGCAGGGTGGGAAAACAAAATATTCCAGTTGGCCTGGAGAACACCCCAATATATGCCTGTAGTTCATGTGTAATTATGAATGATGTCCTTTTCACTCTCAAAAGTGTCCTGGATGGATGATAAATGTATGATCATCCTTCCTGGAGCTTTTCCCCAGGTCTTGGTCTGGGGCAATGGTCTGAAAAGGCAACATGTTGTCAGTTAATATCTGGATATCCACCCAGCCCCCAACCCAGGGGATGCTCTGCCTCTGTGCCTCACAGAGTTTAATTTGATTCAAGATGCCAGTGGTTCATAGGGCAACCTTTTCCTCATGTCCACTCAGAAGGTTTGGAACTGTGGCCCCATCAAAGCATCTAACTACCATTTTCTAAAAATAAGTTAGGTCTCTACCCTAGAGTGAGCCCCAAAATAAATTTCGGATGTCTGAATGAGTTACATATAAGAGCTAAAATGACAATAAAATTAGTAGAGACCCATATAATCTGGGGTGGAGATGCTTTTTCTATGCACTTAAAGGAGGAAATTTTGAAAGAAAAGATCAATCTCATTAGAGCAAATTTAAGTTTTCTGAATGGCAAAAACACACCTATCCACTCAAACCTAAAAGTTAAATTCAATCCAGAAAAAAAAAAAGTGTACCACACAGGAAAGACAATTGCTTGATAAACTTAATAATTCAATGTAATTCAACTAACCAGTTTCCTATGATATTGGACTAGGAATGCGGCAATGCCAATTAGGTGTAGCCTGAAGTATAAAAATAATAGCTCATACATACTCAACCTTCAAAAATCAATTTTTAAAACTTCAAAAGAAAAAAAGACAATTTCAGCAATTTACAAAAGAAGAAATACAAATATCAAATTAAGCATATTTATTCTCTCTAATCTCTGGTAATGTAGCAACACAAATCAATATGGCATATTTTCACCTACCATTTGCATGACAGCTCCTGGTGCTGATGAAGAGATGGGTCAATGAGCACTCTCACACATGCCTAGATGTCAAGTCAACCTTTCTGGAGAACACTTTGAGTATATGCCGAAAGCCTTACGTGTCTAGAAACCCCTTGATTGCTCATTTGAGTCACGTGAGAATAGTCAGTCATCCCAAAGTCAGTTAGACAAACCTCCAGGTTTCTGGGCCTCCCCTCAAAATTACTATCAGTAATTGCCTCTTGGGAACCTAATTCCATCTTTGGAAAGTCATTCAGTTCAGGGCTCCCCAAATACAGAAACTCTCTGAAAAGATAACTCCTCTCAGCCTGGCCTCCAATTCCACGGCTTTCTTGTTGTAGACTCTCCCCTCCCTCTCTTGGGGTTAAGGTTAAAAACAAGTTTGCAGGTCACCAGTTTAATAGATGATA